GGCAAACTCCTGGGCTTGGATTGTTTTGACCTGAGTCGGTGAAGCTGAAATATTGAGTCACAACGGCCCTAAACTTCATTACCAGCTCTCAACACAGATTACTAAGGGAAAAAAGTTGCTTTTAATTGCGTTCCCCGATTAGCATTTCTGGAAAAGAAATCAGTGATTAATTACACCTTTCCTCCTCTCAACTGCCCTGGCCATAGGGGTCCCAACCCCAGGCTACCATGAGAAGGCTCTGGGTCAGAAAAGGCTCCTGCTCCTGAAGGGCCAAGAAACCAAACCAAACTGGATGCTAAGCACACGGTGGGGACATCCCCAAGGCTGACTTAAGAGAACAAGCAGCTGACGGTGTGGGGAGGCCCAGGTCGGTAGCCATCCAAGGGGCCCCCTCCCTGGCTGCCTCATGCCTCAGCGGGGTGTCCTCTGGGCTGAAGGACTTTCACCTGGACCAGGTCCATACCTGGGTGGATTCTAGAATCCAAGATGAAGGGAGAAGCTGGGAGAAGACAGAACAGAAGCAGCCTGAAGATCTGCCAGAGGAGTTGACGCATTCACAGCCACTGGGGCTCCCCTCGTGTGCAGAACCTGACATTGCTTTTCCTATGCCAGCATATTCTCCCTGTGGAGGGTCCAAGGTCATGGGACGGGACAGAGGCAGGGCAGAAGTGCTTCTCCCCTTATCCACAAGATGTTAACCCTCCCAAAGCCATGGGCCGTCCACTGTCCCCTTCGGAGCAACCACATCACCGAATGAGGCGAGGCCCCTGGGTAGCTCCAGGCTGGGTAGGCGCTGCCAGCCATTCCCAATGCCTCTCCCTTCAGGTCTGCACCTGGTGGAACCCAGGGGCTTCTCACCCCACTAGGAAGGCGGGAGGCGTGAGGGAGAACCGAGGAAGGGAGGCCCAGGGCGGGAGTGTTGGCAACATCAGGCAGAATCCTCGGGCAGCTCTGAAGCCAGAAGGATCAGAAACTTCCCAAACCATCTCCCGCCAGGTCTCTGCCCAGCCCAAAGGTACTGCGACCTTGGAGTCCACCCCCGGGGCATGCTGGAGGACGTGGGTCCTGCTCCCCCCAGCCAGCAAGTCCCTCTCCTGATCCTGCTCCTCCTAACCCCTACCTGGCTGCATGCTCTGGAGCGGCTGGCCCCACATCAGATCAAAGCCTCGGAGGATGGAGTTAGAACTGTCCAGTCCATTTAGGAGTGAAGGCCATGGATCCAGTGCAGGCCGTGGAGGCAGAACACAGAAGAGCCTCCCCCACATGCATGGACACACACGCCTGCCCCACTCAGACACACCTTCCCCCGGGGCTCAGCCCAGCGTTCTGAGGCCGGCAGACACACCCAGGAAGACTGGCTGACACCTCTTGGAGCCAGAGGCACCAGCTGCACGCCTGGGACATCCTTATCAACCCCCGCAAGACGTCGTCGGCAGTCTGCCCTCCTGCTCCCTCCTGTCACTCCCCGTGGAGGTCAGGCCTCCAGAGCTTTCCTGGAGGGCTGAGCTGGCCCATATGGATGGGAATATGTTGCCAGCATGGCCAAGTACTCACTGGGGCCCCAGCAGCCAGCTGTGACAGCTCCAGCCAGGCCTCTGCTGCTGTCTGAGCCATGCAGTGCCCACCCAGGGAGGCCAGGGATAACTTGCTGCTAGGACTGCCTGCCCTGTCCTGGCCCAAGCAGATAGTACCAGGACCCAGGAGAGTGGAGTCTTACGACAAGGACCCTGGAAAAAGGGACAGTGGCCTGGGTCAAGTCTGATGAGGTCCCTATGGCAATTCACACTGTGAACTGTGGAAAGACTTTCCATGTGGAGGGACAGCTAGGATCCCTGCCCATGAGCTGGGGCTGGAGGTTAAACTGGTTGCCTGGAAATTGAGGGGGGTCTTAGACAAACCTATTTTTCAGTCCCCAAAGCTAATCAACTGAGATTCTGTGGGTCCCGGAACACAGGGGAAGGTGCATAGAAGCTCAGCCTTTGAGAACAGAGATCACATTTAAAGCCACAGAGAGGAACTGTATGAGTTTCTGGGCGCAATCTCAGACCCAGCACAGAACCCATGGAGCAAAGACACAAAACAGGCTTCGGCACAGTCTTAGCACCAAAAGGACAGTGAGCTGAGAAGTCCCTGCAGGCCTCAGGCCTTGCCTCCACACAGTGCTGGCCAGGAGGCACCTAAAGTACTCCAACAAGCTTTCTTAGCAGCCAGCACAGCGCCCGGGATGGTGCTTCTCCCCTAACCCATAGATGTTAACCTCTGAAAGTCATGGTTCATTCTTAGCACTGTCGGGTCGGGGCATGAGAATAAGAAGATGCAGGGCCACACATCGGGGCCCCGGAATGCCAGAGTCAGCCCAGGGTCTTGTCTCCCTCCCACCCTGCATTCAATCCATCAGCAAGGCCAGTTCACTCTCGCATATACACACACGGACTCTGCCCTCTTCCCTTCATTTCCACCTTCTCATCTCTGCCACAGCCCTCACTCCAGCAGCTGCGGCAGACTCTCCTCTGGCCTCCTGGTTTCTGCCCTTGCCTCCTTCAACTCCCACGGCAAGCCCAGCCAACTTTTTAAACAAAAATCAGATCACTTTACCTCCTTGCTTAAAACCCTCCAGCAGCTCCCCATCACTCAAAGAATAAATCCCAACTTCCCCTGGCCCGCCAAGCCCTACACAGCCTGGCCGCTGCCCCTTCCACCTTCCGGCACTGGGACCTCTCTCTGTCCACTGAGCACACTGAGCTTCTCGACCTTGGTTCCTCTATCCTAGCTCTCTCTTTCTGAAATATTCCACCACTCTTCGGACGGCTGTCCACTTCCCGTCCCTCCATCTCCAGCTACCTGTCACCTCCTCAAAGACGCCTCCTCTGACTGCCCAGTCACTTCCCACCACCTCCTCCTATTTCCACTCTGCACTAATGGCTTCCATGTTATTTTGCTGGGTTTGTTTACTGTCTGCTTACCCAACCAGAACTCCATGAGAGCCACGGCCATCTTGTCACTCTATCCCAAGTGATCAGAAGAAACCAGGCCCTCCGTAACTGTTGAATAAGTATCATCTAGAGCTGCAGTGTAGCTGGAAATGGGGAGGATCAGAGTCAGACAGGATCAGACCTGCAGACCAGGCTTGAGTATGCACTTGCCTCCAAGCCCACGTTCTGGTGTGGGGATACCTCTGAGACCACGGGTCCCCGCTGCCACCGGGGACCCCAGCCTGGGGCCAAACCCAGTGGCTGGAAAGGGCTGGGTGAACAAGCAGGGGCTCGGCCACGACATTCCCACTCGGAGCCCTCTGGGTTCCTAGGCTTCATTATCCAACCCGAGACGGCTGATGCCAGGATGCGGGAGTCCCAGGGGCTCGTGGAGCCCACACCCTACACCGGGTGCAAATCCCCGCTGGCACGGCCCCTGGGAGCCAACGGTGAGTGGAAACTTCGGAAAGGGAGAAACTAATGGGCATGTTTTGCCGAGGGAATGAAGAAAGCAAAAGCCTGCCACTGAGAAAAGAACTGGCAAACATTCTCCCCACGAAAGCGGCTCCACAGGCACTTTGGCTACCTGCACGCACAGGACACGGGCAGCCAGGGAGACCATCCAGAGGCTTGAAGACGTGTGGACTTGCCATCCCAAGACCCGTGATCATCAAGGACTCAGAGTTAGGCAAGAAGAGCCCAGGAAAGAGCAGAGACACAGACGCTGGAGCGGACCCGGCCAGAGGGCGGCACGGCCATCAGTCCACACGGCCCCGCTGCCGTCAGGGACAACAGCGGCACATCTTAAAGTGTGGACGGACCAATTCTGGGTTGTGATCACATTCTGGACACCAGGAAGGAGAGTCTCAGCCGGATGGTTGCTCCACCACCGCAACCAAGGGCCACATTTACATCTGATTTGCAAACCTCTAGGCCTTATCGAGGGCTTCTGCTAGTTCCTAAGGTGGCATGGCCCAATATGACCAGGCCTGCAGCTTTGGGGACCACCCAAACCCCAGTACCAAGGCACCCATCTCTGCAAGTGCTTCCTTCCCGTAAGTTCAAAGTCCGGAGTTGCAGTACTTGGCCACTGGAGGGAGGGGCAGGACACGCTTGCCCTTGGTGCCCAAGGGGAGGGAGAGCACAGGGCAGGGAGCTGGGGCTGCTGATGACAGTCTGGCACACACGGAGGAAGAGCCCCCAGCCCTGCCCTCCCAGACACTTTCTAGTCCTCAGCTTCAGCCCCTACCCTAAGACACTGTCCATCAGTTTTACCAATACCCAACCCCTCTGGGCTGGTTCCCTCTGGATCTTAAGAAAATATTGATTAATGATCAATATGTGGAAGTCACCTGCTACGGGTCAACCCTTCACCCCAAGGACTGCCACATTTGACACCTAAGGTAAATTGCTGACAACACCAGCCCCACAGACTACCCATCACAGGTATAGTACCTGCCTTAAACAGGGGGCTACTTCTGAGCCTGGGCCAAAAGACACCTGTGGCTTCTTCTCTAAGAAGGGTGCTGCTCGGGCTACAGGACCATTGAGAGAGCCCCAACAAGTCACATGTGAGCTCAGGGAGCAACAGCAGCCGGTGGACACACAGATGGGCCAGACCTACCGTTCCCAGAGATGACGTTCAGCAATGACCCGACACATAGCTGCAGGAGCGGCGTCTGCCAGGGCACAGGCCTCTCCTGGAGGACCTGCACGCTGCTAGCAGCGTTCAGTGTCCTACAGTGGTCATGCTGGGAGGATTCTCCAAGGTCAGTTATTCCAACCTCTTTACTTTTCAGGTGGGGAAGCCGAGGTCCAGAGTGGGAGAAAGCAGTGAGTTGACAGCAGAGCCAGGGCCAAAATGCAGACGTCCTGTTCTGAGGCCCCCACTCTCACTTAGGGTGACTGAGCTGCCAGCAGAGAGAAAGGCCCACACAATCCCTCCCCCGAAGAAGGAACCCCTGAACCGGCCAGTCACAGCCACCACCCACATCTCCCAGTAACATCTTGGGAATCGGGAGCAGCTACCTTTGCAGCCCAAGAAGCTGGGGTCTGAAGTCCATTCCAACACACACCACGGGAGCTGCAGGACCCCCTTCCACGGGAGGTGACAGTAGGAAAGGCAGGTAGGGTGGAGAGGGTCTCTGCCTTCACTCAGCGAGGCCTGTTTGCCTACCGAGAGGAAAAAGGAAAACAGATTATTAGGCCATAATGGAGACCCACAAAGCTACTCTTACCCCAGCCCGCGAGGTGGTAAGGGATTCTCAGACCTTCCCCGCCAATCAGCAGATGGCACTGCATTTAGCATGCTATGCCTGACCCTACATCCAGGGCGCCCTTTGCAAAATTACCAGCCAATTGCCATGAAGTTGTCGCACCTAATAAAAGAATCAAACAGGTAGAAACAAAAATAGGCCAATCAGGTGCCACCTCAGGTAACAACAGAGCTATCACACCCAAGCCTCGGCACCTGGGGTGAAAGGTCAGCCTGACAATGAATCAAGCTGACACTGGAAACCAGATCAGATCCACGCAACTGAACCAACCCTTGGCCTCCCCAGCCTCCCATCCCTCCAGACTTTCCCTCGGCCAGCTCCCAGCTGCTCCCGTGACCTCCCGGTGGCCTTATGGGAGTCCCTAAAAACAGAATCAACAGGTGTCTCTGCAGCTACCAGGATGGCCAGTTTGGTTTCTTCTCTTTTCCCTTCCCCCTCCCCACTCTGGTACTGTGCCCTTACATCTCATAAAAAAAGAAAAGAGGGTGCACCCAGGCACACCCTAAAAGGGGGCTGCTGAGATTCACTTGCCATAGGTGTTGGGCCAAAAACCTGTGGCCAAAGAAAGTTGGTGCCCTGCTACCAGCAACCTTTGTGTCAATTTAAGCAAATATTGTGGTGTTTCCATGGTGATTCCTGTTTTGAATATCCACTGCACTCACTTTTTAAAGGGCTTTTCCTGTTTGCGTTTCAACTTCAAACCTGTAAATATTTTCAGCCTTTTTAGCAAAATTAGCCCATGTGCGTGCAAACACAAACACACCACCAGAGACCTCAGCACACAAACTCCCAGGCCTGGAGTTCCAGCTTCGTGGATGTGAGAGCAGGGTGTGGGAACCCAGGGGGGCTGCCTGTCTGCTCTCACAGACACCCTGCACAAGGGGCTGGCATCAGGGAGGGTGGTGCCTGAAACACCGGTCCTTTCGTTCCCCCTCTGCCAGGAGACTGCAGCATCCACAGCGCCTGGCTTGTGAGTGAGCTCGGCCCTGACTCCACAGTGTGGCATGGTGTGGGCAGCTGCCTGGCAGGTTCTCCCACTTGGCCCAGCCCTCGGATTCCCTGGGGCCTCCCTGGAGTGCACGAACCCCTCCTTTCCTGCCTCCCAAGCTTGGGCCGCGAGTGGAAGAGGGAGTTGGTACTTTGAAGGCAAGACCTTCCAGCATCAGCGCCACCCCACCTCTGCTCTGGGCAGTGCCACAGAGACCAGCTCCCTGGGGGAAGCCTCAGGGAGGACAGTGGTCCTGGGTTTGGATCAGCCCAGCTCCCACCCCACCCTTCAGCACTGTACAGGGTTAACAGCGGGTTTCCTGGTTTCCATGGATTCCCGCCAGGCCCCTAATGTGAGTTTCGTGTGATTTGGGGGAAGTGGATTTCCTTTGTTTTCCAGTTTGGGAATATTTTTTCTTTAAAAAAGAGGAAAAAACACTTTAATGGGAACTTCAGGGCCATTGGGAGACTCACTCCTCTGGCCTCTGTCACTCCCCTGACTGTTGGTTCAAAATCCCCCAAAGCCCTGGGCAGCCCACCCACCAACCAAACGTCTCTGAGCTGAAGACAGAGTGCCTCTGATCACCTACAGCTCCCCACCCCCAGGCCACACTTCTGCTGGGGGGGCTGTACTCAGACACACCATCAGAATGACCTCTGCCCCACCTGAAAGCCAGCTTCTTACATAGATGGCTGACACTCCCCCCTTCCAGGCATACAATTCCCCAGAGAAGAGGTTGAGAGAAACAGAGGTTAAGGTTCCTCCCTGACTCCTGGCGAGGAGCTAGAAAGACCAGAGCCCGACCACACACAAGTGGTGAATGTGAACGATACCAGGGTCTTACGTCCTGGTTCAGAAGGGGGTTCCAGTTACAGGGGAAGAGGGTATTCCAGACCCTGGTAGGGCCCTGGTCTGGCCTCCTCCGGCTGATAGAGAGGCTTGCCCAGGGCAGAGGGACCTTCTCAGCTTTGGCACCAAGAGCAACTGAATAAAGGGTGTGCCCAGGCCTCCTCCTCCTCAGTCTTCCCCATTCCTGCCATCCTCCAGCCTTGCCAGGGTGCAGCCGTGCTCCGGTACTGTCCCCAACAAGTGGCCTGACCCATTTACCAAACCAGGGCACAGGCTCCCAGGCTGGCCACGGACAGGGCCCTCCTACAGCCCAGGCCCCAGGGCAATGGCGGCAGCAGGAATCCCGGTCAGTAGGTGCAGAGCCCAAAGCACGGAGCTCTCTGGCCAGCAGCTCTGGGGTGAAGGCGTGAGAGGCCATGTGCAGGTACAGCAATAACACTGGCCCTAGAATCTAGAAGACATAGTCTGCGTCCAGGTTCAGCCACTTCACTCACTGTGGACCCTTGGCTAAGCCATGGACTCTCCCCAGGGCCCTTCTCCTCACTGGTTCAGGGGAGATAACACCTTCTTCCCTCCTACCTGGCAGATGTGGGGGACCAATAAGAGATACGAAAGGGGTTAAGAGTGCTCCAGAAATGCTCTCAACTACCAGCACCCTCTTTTTCCAAGTCTCTTCAAGGTAACCTTCCAAAATCTTCCGCAAGCAGACCCATGTGCCCCTCTCCTCTGCTCCTCATTCATCCTCCATTGTGGCGTTTAAATCTGTACTGAAGTCATTTGTTCACGAGTCTGTCTCCACCGCTGGATTTTTAACTCCTCAAGGGCAGAGACCAGGCCTTAATTATCTCTGTGTCCCTAGCATTTAGCACAACAGCTGGCCCACGTGGGCAGCGTTAAGTGTTTGTGAAACTGAACTAGTCTCTGATTTCATGTCAGAATCAGTAGGCCCCAGCGCAGAGGCGTCCCTCTCCTCTGACAGAATACTTCCTCAGCGATTTTCACGCTCCGTTCTGTTTTGTTCCCCTAAGTCTCACCCAATCTGCTTCCTGGTCTCTCCCCACCCCTCCATCAGCACCATGAATTAATAACTTTCAGGTTCAAGGAGACCTCTTGGTTACTTGATCCTCCTCCAACTGGTTCCAGTAAGAATTGACTGAGCACCTACTATGTGCCAGGGAATGTGCTGGGAGTGAAGGGCACAGCCTCTATCAATGGGTCTATGTGAGAAGTAATGATATTAATTAACTGGACGTCTTCTCTTCGCCAAGCACCATGCTGAGTGCTGTATATGTGGGATCTCATCAAATCTTTACAACAGCAAGTAGGAAGGATTATGATCCCTGTGGCTAGTTTAGGGAGGGCAGGCACAGAGATACGAAGTGACTTACCAAAGGTCACACAGCTTGCAAGTGCTGGAGCCTGGCTTGGACTCCGGCTGACGGGCTCCAAGGCCCAGCTCACTTGAAAGTTCCCCTTCGTCCCCACCCATGATCTCAGCACCCACTCACATCTAATGCTATTTCCCCTCCTGAATCTCAGTTCTCCTTCCCCCCAAAAAGCTCTCCATCAAATCCCCTGAAGCCACCAGAACGCACTCAGAGGTCACAACCAATAGGAAGGCTAAGGCCAGGCTTAGGTGTTTCCTTGCTAGGCTGCAGGTGGGGGGAGGTGAGGCCAATGGTGACACAGCTGGTGAGCAGGAGGAACCCCTGGATCCACCTGGAAAACAGGGTCCCAGCCGGGGGCATGACCTCCTGGAGAAGGGAGGGGCTAAGTCACCCAGCACTGTCACATGACAGGATGAGGACAAGGTGGCCACCCAGGAGGCAGACATTCTAACAGGACAACTTCTATTTCTTCTCTCCAGACAAAGGGTAAGCTAAGGGGTTTAGCCTAGGGTGGAGGGGGGACACAGAGATTTTGGTTGCCTCCCCAACATGGGGACCTCCCACTGCAATGAACACCTGCCTCAAAGATGCAAGAATGAGAAGCAGGGCCACAGGATCCCGATTTTCACTGGGTGAATATGCAGGGGATGGGAGCACCCATCTCCTCAAAGGCGAGAAGAGGCTGGGAGGTGGTGGGAAAAGATCTACATCCGAGAGGATAAAGGGGAGGAAGATCACGCCAGGGTGGGGAGAGGACAGAGCCCTAATGAGCAGATTTCATAAACCACCTGGAGTGAAAACAAAAACACAGACGTGCACATTGCCCAACTTCAGGGCTTTATGGAAAAGGAAAAAAAAACAATAAAAAAATCCACATCTTAATACAAAAATCCTACACGATGTGTTGTGGCACGAAAGTGTTTTTCACTGCATTTTTCATCCGTGATCTCACACAGCCCAGGACGGGTACGCCCAGCGCAGTAGGTACTTGATGGTACACAAACAGGGCAAACACATACACAATTAACCAAAACAAGGGCAGCAAATATTCAGATTGGTCCGAACTGGCATCTCATGGCTTCAGCTGGCCTCTGGAGATGGCTAGGTTGGCTCTGAGCATGGGCCCCTTTAGATTCCTGAGGGAGGAAGAAATGGGGCAAGAACACAGCTCAAATGAAAGGAAACGTATGGAGCTTGGAATTCTCAGACCTCCACAGGTGGAACTCCAGGCCAGCTGGTTATGTGGCTTTCTGCACTTAAGGTGCTGTCCCGGTGGGGACAGGGGCCAGAGAGGGAACCCACACCCCAGGGGCCCCTCCTGCACGTCACTCACCCAACAGTTACTATCTGTCTCCTTTTTGCTCCACCCCTCCCCCCTTAAATTGTTGGATGAGTTTACAGAGTTGTGTGCCAAAAACAATCAACTCCAGGGAACAGAGTTATACAAAAAAGGGCGTGTCGCCAGAGGGAGACGGATATCCATAGAAACCACCACCTTTTCACGGTAGCCTAGGTAAAGACGGGGGAAGGGGGATGGCATGGCGGTGGGGCCATAAGCTCCACCCAGAACAGGGCCCCAGAAAATGCTGGGTCGCTGATGACCTTAGGGAGCCACATATAGTGTGGAGAGTCAGGAAGTGGGGTGAGTGGAGACCACCTTGAGGGCAGGGC